GGGGGGGGGGAGCAATATGCTGCAATAAGTCACTGCTGCATGCAATGCATAAAGTCAGCCGCTTCCCTTTACAGAGCCTCGCCGTGCATGTGAAAAGCTCATCGTCACAGACACACAATCAGTTTCATATTCGTCCTCTCACCCTCATATAAACGGTATCTTCTGTCCAGTGACCTTGGTGTAATACAACCTGCAGTGTTCCTGTAGCAAGCACTTACCTTGAATTGAATTTCGCTCAGTCATACAGACACATTGTGTGAAAGGCCTGCAGCATAAGGGTATCCCTGCAGCAGTGGCACTGACTCCCTCACTGACTGACTCACAGTCCTTCAGCGTCGGGATAGCTCACTGAATTCAATGAAGCCTCGATTATTATGTTTTGTTTGTTATTTTGCAGCTGTCGATACAAATGAAGAAGCCATATAGTAACGTGTGTGTTTGTTTCAGCCCGATGTTTCATGCTGTAGCTTTTGAATTGCAGATCGGCAGCATGCGTTTGCACACACACTGTCACTATGAGGAAAATGTCCACATGGTATTCTGCAGACCTGTGAGTGTAGATAATTAGCTCTTGCAGCGGGTGGGTGCAGACCTCTGTGAGGTTATCCGGGTATAAGTGAGAGAAGCAGCTTGGCAGTATACCGCAGTGGACCAATGTTCTTGTGTCTGGCTCTTTTCCAGTGTGTGCTCTCATCCTGCTGGGCCTCGATCAGATGAGCATGACGCTCTCCTTTCCCTCACTTTTCTTCTCCACCCTCTCTTTGTACAAAGCTCTCTCTTCCCTATCCCTCCCTTCTTTATCTGCATCTCTTCCTGTCTCTGCATCAGATGTACTGTTAGCTCCAGGGGCTCAGAGAAGGAGCTGCATCGCTATATATTTGTTTACCTGAGCCACACTTCTTTATGTATTGATTAAGCGTCTCTAGTCAGAATACACATGGGATCTATTTAGCATAAGATTCTCATTAAATATGGTGATGATTCTTGCATGGGAATTCTCCAATGAGGAAATATACACAGGATATTTATACTGCGTGTGTGCTTGAAACCTGTGGCTGCTGCAATGCAGTGTCAAGGAGCAAAGAGGTTCAACAGACCTTAAAAAGTGCACTGCAGTCCAGAGCACTGAGGCAGAGCAGTGCTGACACAGTTGTTATGAGTTTTACATTTGAGAAGTTAAAGCAGGGGTCACTGATAGAGGTGGAACGCGGTCCGAGTCCGGACCCAGATGCCGTTGTCTCTGGACCTGGACCTATAACTGATCGATAATTGAGAATTATTACATTTTTACAGAGCGCTTCTATTTAACCGGTGCAGATTTTTTAGCCTTTAAGGCACTCGTTCAGCGGTCCAGGAAACATACCGACCAATTACATGCGTTGTAAACAAACTCACGTGATGCTACTCGGCTAAATCAGACATTATTGTGATGTTCCGGACCTTAGCATGAGGAAATTCTCTGGACATCGTTGAACTTTAATTGAATACCCCCGAGTTAAAGGGTCTCAGGAATTCAAAGCATATTGACTCAACGCTTTCAACACGGAGACGGCTGAGCCGGGGGCTAGCAGCTAACGGTGCTAACAGCACGAACAGTGCACACAACAGCAACAGTGCTGGCAGAGGTAACCTGAGGGGGAACCGGAGGGTGGGCACGACGTAAGAAGGAAACTCTGGTATCATATACACCAGTGATGTCAAAGTGGGGTATGGGGTTTGTGGCACTCTGCCAGGGGGTCGGAAAACTGTTCAGATTCATTATTTTTGGTATAAAAGGCTTTATAGTTCAATGAATAATAATTCATATTTTTTAATTTGTAACACATTTCTCTTGTGTTGTTCTTTCACATAACGAAGACTGGAATAAAATAGCCTGTGTCTTATTCTGCGACTGGCGTGTACTCTATCTTGTAAGGGGTCCTTGGCTGATCAACAATTGAGAACGAATGCCTTTATTCGTAAAATAATCAAACGACAGCAGAGTGAAGACAACATGGCGTTCAGCTGGTTGCTCAGTGATAATGACCCTTCAGTCCTCAAGATCATTTTCTCTGCCCTCTGTTCCTTTCCCCAAAACAGCATCTGATGGAGACCTGAAATCAATACCTCTTGAAAACAAATTCCTCATTGACACCTTCTCTGCCAACCATTGCACCCATTCTCATGTCCCCACATATGACAAAAACACAGCACAGCATTTTGAGTGCTGGGACCCTTCGCTTTTAATTAAAGCAGCCCTGCTAATGCAAAGTGAACTGAGTTTTAGAGCCTGAATTAACAGTATTGGTAATGGGCCCCGGGTCATAAATAATGGCTGCGTGCTGTCATGAGGAACTTGGGAAAGCCATTAAAAGATAGTAAGAGGTATATCTGCACGTGTGTGGCAGCAGGCAGACAGACAGACAGAAGGGATGAGCCGTGGTGGTCTCGGATCTGCCAGGAGTAACCTTGGCAAAGCCGAGTCTCACACAAATCATCCGGCTGGCCCCCCCCCCCCACCCCCCACCCCCGTTTCACCTCGTTCACCTCCTCCCCTTCACATCCGAGGGATTCCCGCTGACCTTTGGCTTCTCTGGAGGTCCCTTCTGGCCACGGTGCTTTGATTCCCAGCTCCAGCATTGATAGCAGGGGAAAGATTTACTATTGATCTTTTTGATCTTCGTTTTGAATATAGCAGAACACAATGTTGAGGTTTTGCTCTATTTTCGTCACCCTCTTATCTATTATCGATGCCGCTTGTCGCCAGGAAAGGGAATATAACTGCTGTAACAAGAGTAACAACACCAAACTTGAATTCAAGTTGTTGCCTCTGGATGTTATTATAATGTCAGCAATAAAGCCCTGGAAAAGACATGAGTGAGGAAGACACCCCACTAAAACATTGTGTGTGTGGGACAATGCCAATGAACATTCCAAAGTAGTTTCCAAAATAAAATAGCTCCTATAACTCAACCTTGTATATGGGTCTAATCTCGCTAAAATAAACTACAATACATACTTATTTGCCTATATATTTGGCATTGAAACCAGCTGGCCAACAGCAGTGCTGCTGAACAATGATGGAGATGTGTACCGCTTTAAACTGCCCACACTGCAGATAAGGGATAAGGAGTGGTGCTATAGGCTTCAGTGCAGATGGAGAGCACCTTGTGTTTTCTCCTCTTGCTTGCTCCATCACGAGCACGGCTCTTGGTATGCACAGCAGTGTCCGAATGCAGGTTCCACTATATAACATTTAAACACCATGCAGCGGCCACTGCTGACTGCTACAGAAATATGTTTCACCCACAAGTCTTTCACCTGAAGAAAAAAAAAAACCTCTCTCACCTCCTGCCGAGCAGAGACCATGCAGGATCAATAAAAGGGCACTTTATATTCGTGTGTGTGTGTGTGTACGTGTGTGTGTGTGTGTGTGTGTGTGAGTGTGCGCGCGCGCGCTGGGCTCTGGCTCACTGTTATTGCGTATTCTCGTAGCCCCCTACGTTGGGCGATTCTTTCATGCATGTCGTTTCAAGTCAGTGTCTGAAGACGCCGCTCTGTTCACCGTGTCGGCTATTAGGATACTCTCAGAACTGTGTCCGCGTGCTCTAAACGTTTGGAGGCACTCGCACGAGCGTATATCTGCGGCGCACACACGGGAGTCTTGGCGGTGATTCACGTGGCGTGCCTAAATAAGAAATAAACATGTAAATTGGTGATTGCAGATTTATTCTCACGCCGACATGAAAAGATGAACTCATTGTTGATGCACGTGTCCCAGAACGCGTCTAATTATTAAATCCTGGTCATAAGATTTTTTTTTGAAGCCCTCTCCCTCCTCCGCGCCTTGCTTTGTCCTCCCTCCCTTTGCAGATGTTGCCTCTCCGAGCACCTCATCAGTACCATTTACCTTTGCGGCTGTCTGCAGCCACAGCTCGTGACAGTCACGCTGGAGCGGAGGGCAACAGCGGAGGCAAATCATTCTGCTGATCCCAGCACCTTTTGGTTAGTAAGGGAAGCACCAGCACCTCCTTGATCGGTTCCCTCCGCCCTTTTTTTTTTCTTTCTGTTTTTTTTGCCAATCGCCATCCCACAACAGCCTACCCGGAGGAAAGGAGTCTGGGAGGGGAAAGCGAGGACACACCCGCACATACTGTACCCGGTGTACACTGCGAGGATGCTGCAGACAACATGAGGTGACTATCATCGACTGCCCCACATTGGATTTTTTTTTTTACCCACTTTGGAGACCTGATTGTCGCAGCTGGTTATTCACCTTCCTGGTACCGGGAGCATCAACTCCCATCAGATATGAAAAAGATGCCTGCAGGTATGTTGAAGATCAAGATAAAGCAGCTTATCATCTCTGATTTCAAATATATATATAAATATATATTTTAAAGTCTTGGCATTTTGTGATATTAGGCCATCAGCAGTTATAGATTTGTTGTATGTTTCATAAGGATGTTATTTTGGAAAACGGTGCTGCCACTCTGTGAGTGGAGATGATGCAGGCAAGAGATACATTTTTTTTTTTCTCTTGGAACCTATTTCCTTCCATGGATAAATTATTTATAGATGTTTTTGAATATTTCAGAGACGGGCACCATTTCAAGACTAAAATGCTCCAACAACACAAAACTGAAGTCAGTTAGTATGAGGTGTGTGTGTGTGTTTTGTTTGGTACAGCAGTACATCTCGAAAGCGTCTCATACATTTGGTGTTCAGACCGCAGTGGATTTCTATGATATTCTAGACAGGATGCTGTCTGTATGAATTCGGTGCCTGCTGCATTGCCACATCCATGCATGGCTTTACTGCAGAAAAGCTAGTTCCATTCATTTCAGTGGGTTTTGTCCATTGCAGCAGATCAGTGTCCTAATTTCCGAGTGTCCGTATGCTTTTATGTGCCAGTTAGCCCCAGAGTTTACCTGCATTGAAGCAATTTATATGCAAGGCGGATGGCTTATTTGCATATTCATTAGCCCGAGTAAGGAGCAGGACTGTCAGCCTCAAGTTTCCATGAGCTGATTCATTGTTGCATCGATTGCCTTCTCAGGACAGTATAACTTTACATAAGTCATATCAAATCTACTGACATTGTTTCAGAGGGCGGCTTCGTTTGCACCTATTTTCAGTTGTTAAAAGCATTCCTGACATCTCCGGACTTAATGGCAGAAGTATTGAGTGCTGAATCATGTCTCCGGTTTACCTGACCTTGTTGTCTGTCTTTGCTTTATCTGTCCTGCATGCAGTCAGGTCCTAGGTGACATCCTGTGGCCGTCAGGTCTTTACGGTGTCGAGCCCCCTCCCTCTCCTGGCCCCTGCCTGCAGCTCTCCAGGCTGCAAGACCCAGACTCACTGAAAAGTGCAGGCCTCCCCCCCCCCGCAGAATGACTGTAGCCACCGGCGACACCTCTGACGAGGCGGCTGCACACCCGCAGGACTACGACCCGGAGGCCGACCACGAGTGTTGTCAGAGGGTGGTCATCAACATCTCAGGGCTGCGCTTTGAGACTCAACTCAAGACCCTCTCCCAGTTCCCTGAAACTCTGCTGGGGGACCCCAAAAAGAGGATGCGGTACTTTGACCCGCTGAGGAACGAGTACTTTTTCGACAGGAACAGACTCAGCTTTGACGCCATATTGTATTATTACCAGTCAGGGGGCCGGCTAAGAAGGCCGGTCAACGTCACCCTTGATATTTTCTCAGAGGAGATTCGGTTCTACGAGCTCGGCGACGAAGCCATCGAGATATTCAGAGAAGATGAGGGGTTCGTCAAGGAGGAGGAGCGGCCTCTTCCAGATAATGAGTTTCAGAGACAGGTATGGCTGCTGTTTGAGTATCCAGAGAGCTCAGGTCCTGCTAGGATTATTGCCATAATCTCTGTCATGGTTATCCTGATATCTATTGTCAGTTTCTGCTTGGAGACCCTCCCCATTTTCCGCAATGACGATGACGATTTGCACAAGTCTCACACGAAAGTCTATTCACCCGAGACCAACACCACAATCTTCACCTATAATTCCACCTACTTCACTGACCCCTTCTTTATCCTGGAGACTCTCTGCATCATATGGTTCTCCTTTGAGTTTCTAGTGCGCTTCTTTGCCTGCCCCAGCAAAGCGGGCTTTTTTGGTAATATAATGAACATAATTGATATTGTTGCCATCATCCCATACTTCATCACTCTTGGCACAGAGCTCGCAGAAAAGCCAGACGATGGTCAGGCGGGTCAGCAAGCCATGTCTTTAGCCATTCTCAGGGTCATCCGCTTGGTGCGAGTCTTCAGAATTTTCAAGCTCTCCCGTCACTCCAAGGGGCTTCAGATTTTGGGTCAGACCCTGAAAGCCAGCATGAGAGAGCTGGGCCTGCTCATTTTCTTCCTCTTCATAGGGGTCATACTTTTCTCGAGCGCCGTCTTTTTCGCCGAAGCAGACGAGCCCGAGTCACACTTCGAAAGCATCCCGCATGCGTTCTGGTGGGCGGTGGTGTCCATGACAACAGTCGGCTACGGCGACATGGTCCCAACGACGATCGGTGGCAAGATCGTGGGCTCCCTCTGTGCCATTGCAGGTGTGCTGACCATTGCCTTGCCCGTGCCTGTCATTGTGTCCAACTTCAACTACTTCTATCACCGCGAGACTGAAGGCGAAGAACAGGCGCAGTACCTGCAGGTCAACGTGCCCAAAGCCGATTCGGCCGAGGAGCTGCAGAAGAGCCGGAGCGGCTCCACCATTAGTAAATCGGACTATATGGAGATCCAGGAGGCGGTGAACAACAGCCGCGAGGACATTCAGGAGGAGAACCTTAAGACGGCCAACTGCACGCTGGCCAACACAAACTATGTAAACATCACCAAAATGCTCACAGACGTGTAGTCTTCTGCTTTTTTCCTCCCCGTCACAGCGGGAAATGTGGAGCTGAGCAACTGGACGGGATAGGCTCCCATCTCACGTGTGCTGGAAAAAAATAAAGGCATAGAATTTAGGATGTTGATGATGATGATGATAGACAGTGAAAAAAAATGCAAAGACCATCCGCTCACTCCTTGCTCATCCTGTCTTCCCTCCTCACAACTTGCCCTTAAAACTCCTGATAACTGTCAAACAGAGTGAAATTTCTAATTTTACATTTCTGCATGGAGTTTGCTTTTTTTTGTGTGTGTGTGTGTGTGTGGCTGTTTTGAAAAAAATAACAATGCCTAAAAATGTCCTGCTCACAACAGTAGCTAATAGTAGTGCACAAAAAGAAAAGAAAAAGGGAGAACAAGGCAAGAAAAAAAAAAGAAGTATTGCTTTCAAAAAGAAAGAAAAAAAGCCACACCAGCCCTGCTTTCGTCCCCCGTCCCTCGGCCTCTCATTTCCCAAGGCAAGCTGCTCTGCCATGCGCTTTCTGAAGAGCCCTACTTGTGCGCTACATATGCTGCTTCCTGGAGCCAATGAAACGAGAACTGTCTTACGCTACCATTTAGAAATAAGAGGATGTGTGAGCATAAAGCAAGCTCCCTTCAGCGCTGATATAGCCTGTGGGCGACTTGTGACGAGGTTGGTGGTTAAGCACACCACGTTATTTCAAGGATGAATGACAGCCATCAGCGCGTAGCTTATGGTTCGACACCTTTTTTTCCCAGCAGACATCAGTATCTGATGAATGACTGAGAATGGCCTTGACTTTTCACTGCTTTGGTCTTACTGTATGTATTGCAATGCAAGCTTTCCTCCCTTCCATTCACCCAAAACTGGTCTTACTGCAGAGCTTTGAGGACAACTTGAATGTTTCTTCTTGTTTTGTTTGTTTTTCACAGTTTCACACACGCACACACACGCACACAGTACGTATTCAAATAGTAGGTTAACTGTGACTTAACTGATAGCCAGTAGATAGGTGCTGTTAGTAGTAAACAGTTAGTCAGTAGATTATTGCATGACATTTTTATCTGAATGAGAATTTCCACTTGTTTCTCGACTGCCACTTGCTTCATCACACCACTGTGTCATCACACCACACTTTAAAAAAAGGCAGACTGCAGGTAGCGGTCACGCATAAAGCTGTATGTTAGAGGATTTCTTAAGGAATAATCATAAGTCGAAATACCCCCCTAAACAGGATACGGTATCCTCGCCGATACTAACATACCATGTAGAAGTCATTGCGTTAAACTTCAGCCGCAAACTCACACTCTAGTTTTTGACATCAATCCCAGTTGCACCTGTGATAGACTTGCAGTGCTGTCTTTTTCACAGGTTTGTCACACAATCGTGTCCTCACGATGAAAATAGCAACTTTTTAGGATTTGTGTATAGAACAAAGCTCCCCCCCCCCGAACTGCCTTTTTATCTGGGTTTACGCTAATCTCCTAGTGTTGCATGACCTCAAAAACATTCCTAGAAGCATGCAATTAAGATCAAAGAAGAAGCCACACAAAAAAATGTGTAATTAATACAATAGAAATATATATTGCTTATATGAAATATATGTATACAGACAAGACACATATAACAGTACACATATACTTTTATCGGAGAAATAAAAAACTTAAAATAGCAATGTTTAAGAGAAAGCAAGAGCCTTTCCACAATGCTCAGATCATTGCCATGTTTTTATTTTCGATGACAATAATAATTGTTCTGAGCACAGTTTCTATGTTCTCCTGTTTCAGAGCCTGTTCAGAGTGCCAGAGACACACTCTTACTCGCCAATTTAAAAGCATATTCTTTGCTAGCGGGTTTTCCAGCAAACCTGACACACGTTTAGATACTAAACGTTTGCTTTACTCTGTATAAAAATGCCTTCTGTGAATGAATTGTTGAAAGGCAGGTCGGTGTCCAAAACGGTATCACCCCATACCAGAGTCAGAGATTTTGTATTGGCGTTAAATTGTTCAGAATTGAAATGGAGACTGGCTGTCCTCTAAGAAGTCTTATGACACCAGAAGCTCACTCTGTCTGTAAAAGTTGGCATCGAATGTGAACTAGGTACTGATTCTAGGATTGTGTCCAGCTGAGATTCATCCACTGTTCGCTCAACACTGCCAAGGTAACAGTCAAAGGCAGTAACGTCAATATGGGAAGTGATAATTAGCAGCAGTGTAGCAGGTATTGGCTAACCGAGGGGGTCCTCTGACTTCACTCGTGAGTCTCTTGCCTTTCTTCATCTTTTCACAGACGTGTCCTAGGGAATGAGAAAGGTGATGGATTAGGAGAAGGCCTGTAGCAACAACTGTCTAAACAAATTCTGTCATGCCAGGATGTACATCTTTAGTCTTAGGGTTTCATTCTGCTCTCTAGGGTCTATAACCTGCAGTAGCAAAATGTTTTGACACCATCGCTGTCAATATGTGCTCAGGATGCCTCGTCCAACTGCCTGACATGAGGCTGCTGACGTTTACTCTCATGTATGTTGAAAGGGTTGTGGAGCACTTCTGTTTGTTACTTTCCCGAGAGTGGCATGAAGGTGGATTGAGATGTTAAAATGGTCTGTGACTCAAGGTAGGACCAGATTAGATAGTTATTTAGCAATATTCCTATAATCCTTTGGGTGGATGGGTCTGTGTGGAGAACAAAGATGTTGTTGTTTTTTAAAAGAATGAACCTCATCGGACCTCCACCGTCCAACCAAGATCTGGTTGATCATCAGTTGAGTATTGTTGTGGGTGTATGGATGCACAGCTCTGTAGGAGTTGTCTGTGCGTGGGCATGGGTGAGTGTGTGCATGTGTACAAGTGTGTATGGGCGAGAAAGAGAGAGAGAACCACTGAATGTCAGCGTCTTAGCCTGGTTGTACAGCTGCATTTATGAAACAGCCATTTGCATATACTTGTTTATGTGGGGAAAAAGAACCACTCACAGTCTGACCAAAAATATTTGTCTATGCATGCAAATGCATTGTATCGTTATTGTCTGCATTCCATTTGTTTTGTTTTTCTTTACATATATTAATGATAAATGTTACGGATACATGCAACATTTATCTGTTACGTTTGAAATTGGGCACGTCACTATACCTCAGCCAAATTCATTGTAGCAACTCGCACACGGGAGCCCACGAGTTGTGTATCAACGGTTATTTCTGCTTCAAGCACAAAGACGAGCAGAATCATCCTCATCTGTAGACCTGCAGATTTAATCTGTGAAATGTTTTTATTCAGTGAAAACAAAGTCCATCCAAAAGATGTTGTATCGCTTTAGAAGGAGCACCACAGCCTCTAAAAAAAACTAAAATACAATAAAAAAAAAAAAATCATCTCTCACCTGCTGAGGGACCCACCAGCAAATCCACTCCATGAGAAGGGTGCCCAATAGTGAATACACTGAGACATCTATGCAGAGTATGCTAGCTGGTAGTTGAGAAGGTTCAAATACTGAATGTTTTATGTTTTATTACAGTCGACCCTGAGAGCTGACGCCGCATTTGAAAAACGAACCACAAGAGAAACGCTTTGCAATATTCTGCTGCTGGACGTCAAACACTCACACGTTGGCTGAATGTGAATGTGAGCTTTTCTGACCTTCTGTTTGTTGAAACTGCGATGTCAGCTCTTTGAGACAACTCACACATAGAAAAAAACTCATACATGTGGGGAAACAAGAAGATCAATATGCAATCTGTATGCATGTGTGCGTTTGAGGAAGAACGTTTTTTTGCTGTTGTTGTTGTTTTCGTTTGACCCCTCCAGAGCCTGGTAGTGAGGCATCCACTGAAACAATATGTACAGTTCTTCACCCTTCCCCACCCCATCCCCCCCATATCATAGAGGCCTGAAAACATCCATCAACAATGGTACAGTGGATAATGGATTTTCTTTCTATGAAATGAAATGTGAGAGAATAATGTAAATAAGAACCAATGGATGATGAAGCAAAAACCATGTACTATATACTGTATGTGAAGTCTGGATTTAAAACGTAGTATTATCTGCACTTTACAAGACAAAAAGGACAATCTATGGACAAGAAAAACATGTGAAATCTAAGATGCATATACTCCTTCCAAATGATCATAACCCTGACAAAGTAATATCGGTAATAAAGCCAATAATAATTCAACTGAAATGTTATGGTCAGTGTGTTTATTGTGTGTCACCTTTTACTGCTCAAGTGATTTTCAGTATGAAGAGGACGCACATGAGAGGTGTTCATCAAATGTTTCTGCAGCCTTCTTCACATTTTTTCGCAAGGCATTTATTTAGTCAGCCAAATGATCTGAGGAGCTAATTTTAGCCTGAAGAACGTCTGCGCTGATGCAAAATGCCACGAATCGATTAAAGGGCCCCTTTGTTGTTATTTTTAGGACACCCAGAGCTTTGTAGCCACTGGTAGTGTGGAGGACATTTTCAAAACGTCTCCTGGTATCTTCAGCTCCTTCCTCCCTTTAAGTGCACGGTGTGTGCTCCTTGCAGTTTAAAAGAGAGAGCAGGGTGTTCTATTAATAGCGTTTTTGTTAGAGAAAGAGAGAGGAGCAGGAGGATGAACGTGAGCGGAGGTGGAGACGGGGTGGAAAGGAGATGGCAGAGGAAAATAAATCCTTCATGGTGAACTCTTCATGGCAGCACAGTTACATCCATGTGTAACAAGCCACAATGGGGGGAAAAATGTTTATTTCTTTAAGATCCATACATTCTGCAATTGCAATTTGGAGATACAAGCAGACGTCTCTTGTGATCTTCTGCTTTCTTCCTATGGTTTCTTTTTTGCCTCTCCTCACCTCACGGTCACATCCACACCTGCACGGTTTTGCGAGGTGACTGCCGTCATGTTCTGTGCTTCCTGCTATCTTTAGTCCGCCCGTGGTTTAACTACAGCTCTGCATTGCGAGCGGGAACACTCGGGGCCTCGGTGCTGTAGCTACATCTCTGCTGTAGTCATTATTCTTGCTTTGATCTGCCAATGCAGTCCAGCACTCTGCAGCTCGGGGAGAGAGGCAGGCAGGATGGAGCAGCCCAAACCAAGGACAGGGGCAGCAGGAACACAGGCCTGCTGCAGGTGGCTTCTGATGCCTGTGGTGAAACATGTATCTTATTCATTTCCCTGTGATAGGAAACACACTTATCACTGCACAGAAAAGAACTAAATGATAAATGGCCACAACAATGCCTGTTGTTGTTGTTATTGTTACGGAGGAGTGTGAGAGAGAGAGTGTGTGTGTGTGTGTGTGTGTGTGTGTGTGTGTGTTTTGTTTGTCAGGGATGGTAGCATGCCCACATCGGGGGAACGGTTGAGCAGACATACAGGCTTGCACTGTGCTCACCAGCCGGTAATTAGGAGCCAAGCGCAGTGGGACTTGCTGCTAATCCACAGGGCTGCCCCGTCACCGGACCACACCTCGTTATTAGGAGGTGTTCAGATGTTTACACTCGTTAACTCCTGCCCTGATATCAGCCACCAGTCATCACCCGAGGAGCCCTGCAGCCAGTTGAAATGGTTGCTTCTTTAGCAGACTAGCTGTGACTGGGCCCTAGTCGTTTGGCTCGAGGTGAAGATTAAAATAATGGAGATGGATGTTCAGTTGTATGTGGAACCTTGTTTGTGCAGTGATGAGGAAAAATGGAGAGAGCAACAATACTGCCCTCTAGGGGAGTTGTTGCAGAAAAGCCACAATGTACCTCAGTTGTCCATCAGTTAAACTAAGAGAGGTTATTTTTGTTCAAAGGCAAATTTAAATTGTATCTTTACCAATAGAATGATCCAAAAATACTCAATTACAAGTAAAAGTCCTTACTTAAGTTAAGGTACAGAAGTATTATCAAAGAATACTTCAAGTGATAAAAGTAAAAGTACTCATTATGCAAATAAATGTCCCCCTCTGAGTATATATGAATATATTAATGTATACTATTATACTAGATTGTTAATATGATGCATCAATGTGTAAGTATAGCAATTTTCTGTTGAAGCTGCCTGAGGTGGAGCAAGTTTTAACTACTATATATCTTTTTGTACAATTTCTCTAATCTTTTCTACTTTTGTGAAATGCTCGATAAATATATCTCTTTGGGCTTCAAACTCTTTCATAAAACAGAGAAGGTTTATTGGGAAAACAACTCATAGATATCTGAAATGTGATAAGAGGCCCCGACTAGACACTGCGGTTTTTTTTTGTAAGAAGCCAAAAGAAAGAGAGAGGTTGGGAATCACTGGATCAATCTGAAAAGTATAAAAGCTGCAGATGTCAAATAAACATATTAGAGTAAAAAGTAAAACAATATATATTTTAAAAAGGGTGGAATTATAGTCAAATAGAATTGCAATGAAAACTGCAATATTTTACATATACTATAGGATTGCCTTCCACAATCAGGATTTATTCTGCATAATCACTGCATATTTTCATGGGTCTGACCAGTAATTGAGTCTCTTCTAGTGGAGAGATAAGTAACAGTAGTGTTGGGTTTCCAGACACAATGGGACACATGTCCACGCCTGCTCCCTCCAGAGTCATACGGAGGATCAATACACTCACATAGTGTGATGGCCCCATTGAGAACTAACACACACACACACACACACACACACACACACACACACACACACACACACACACACACACTAATGACCAATGGGCTGTGTTAAGGTCAGCCAACATGCATCCTTTCTCATAGGGGATGGTGAACTTGTGAGAGCACAAACTGGACAGATGCTCCCGAGCTCATAAGCACACACAAAACCAGGAGACATGGCGTTATATGAAACACCAGACCAGTATGTCGAGTAGAGAAAATCCTCTTTTACATAATAACAAGGTGGGCTGAATAAACAACGTGGGGAATGGTCACAGGAAACCCGGTGATTATCAGGCGGCAGGACTTCGATAAGCTTCACTAGCAGGTGTCAACGTGTGGTGTTTGTGCGGTACACGCAGAGATGGACAGTATTTCTATTACTTGTATTTGAAATACGTATTTCAATTACTTTTGAGTATTTTGTAATTTGTATTTGATAGGGCCGATAAAAATCGAACGTAATTTGAAACAAAATACTTTAGAGTGGAGTAATTTTGTATTTAAAATACTCAAAATATTTTCTCCACGAATCAAAAAACAGTTCATGAGTTCAGTCTTCAGATCTTCAAGTTCAACGGATTGTCTGTCAACGTAAATAGTTTATCTGAGTGCTAGCTTGATGTATAATGTATGTCTGGGTCTGGCTACATAGCCTATTGTATATACATGGTGATGGTTATAATATCAAGCTCGATGCTAACATGCTAATGATGCTAGCATGCTGTCTAGGCTAGTGCATAGCCAGTGTTTAGCAAGTTAAATTATCAGTCGAGTAGCTAGCTATAGGAAGAGGGAGATTGGGAGCTTGTATGTTCATGATAACCTCATCAAGAGATGTCTGACCATCTAATCTTGCACTGTATTATAAGTTATGCTGTATCTTCTCAATGTGAATGTCATAATGCCATATCAATTACTGGCAGATAATATAGTTCACAGTTAGCCAGGCTATGACAGTAGATGTTAAAAAAAACAAAAAAAACATTAAATATCCAATTTATTTTATTTAAAAGGCATATTATGAAAGTATTCTTAGTTTTATTATTTCATACATTCTACAGTTGGCCAGGTGGACAACATGTCTCAGCAAGATGATGTTCAAGAAGGACCATCAACAAGCACAGATGTGCTTAGTTACACTGACATTCTGTGACTGTTCTTCCTTTGTGTGGGCTTCACCAGAGCTTTGTGTACATTATAGCCCAAACCTGAATGCTCCGCTATACCAAATTGTGAGAAAACGGAAAATCCAGAAAAAGTAGTTCCTATATTTTAAATACAAAATACATGTGTTGTATTTTGTTACATTTTCTGGCACCAGTATTTTGTATTTTATTTTGATACATTTATTTGAGGGGTATTTTGTATTTTGTATCAAAATACATTTTGATGTATCTTTGCCCATCTCTGGGTACATGGCGGCCTTCCTCGTGGTAGAAGTTTAATCTCAGTGATGGAGGTGAGGTTTGGCAATCCTCTGTCATCTGAGGCGGCGACATATGAAGTACAAATGAAGCGAGTTCATGTTTAGGAGCCCCGGGCTGTTTGTGCCACTGTTGGAGGGTTAGAGAGATTATAATGAATGGACAACAATACAATGTAACAACAACCTCCTGGGGCTGTAAAAGTGGAACAGGGTGTAACTCTGTTACTTGCTTTCTAAATTGCAGGGAATGGCTTTGTTCGTGGTAAATTACTCATTTTTGGGTTGTGAAAAGTCCTTCTAGCTGGTGTTCATCCTCCTACAGCATTACACTTGACTTTCTTTTCAGATAGTTCTTTACTTCTTCTTCAGGACGTTGAAGAGTGTCTGGACTAAAATCCATTTCGTCCAGACAACGTGATGAAGGAAAAAGTAATACATTTTTGGAAATATGTGCTTTCTTGTTGAGAAGATCAATACCACTCTTGTGTCAGTGTGTTCAGTATGAAGCCACTACACTATCACCAAATATAAACAACAGCGATAGGGAAACCTCTAAGTGTATAAAGTATTAGCAGCTTATTTATTAACTAACGATAAAGCCACTAGTTACATTAACACTTAACAAATGGTTCTTATGAGAAAGTGGTTCGAAAAATTCTAAATAATATGAAAAATGAACTTGCATTAATTAAATGAAATACCACTGTAGTCACAAGGACTTCCACATTGTGTCTTGACCAAGAATACAGCGCCTAGAAATGGCATTTACACCACGAACATAAAACATTCATAAATAGAGGCAATCTAGTGAATATCCATGAAACCGGAGAGGGGACGTGAAAGCCCCTGAAAGCATTAAAGAAAACACTCGTCAGCTCTCTATTGTATTCAAAATGACAGCTATTAATGTGACGGCCAAAAGACACTTATCAAGTTACATTTTAAACTGTACAAACATTGAACTTGCAGTCACCCCAATCTGTGATGAAGTGAGGGAAAATGACTGGAGTAAATCTTTGATCAGGGTCATTTATTTTCTTGATCACTAATTATCTTGAGGTGAAAACTGCATCCTTGCTGCTGGCTACATCTGGTGGAGGCCATTTCCAACATGTCGACCAGGGAGAGAATGTCAGAGGCTTTAAATATCCTGTGAGTTAATATTTTATCAACATCTCAGTCCCAGGGCCTCCCCCCTCTTACATTCCACTTCCACTTCTGAGATTGTGCACAGAGAACAAACGGGAAATATTTACCACCTCAACTGCATTTTGTTTAACTTCCCTATCCACCTCGTCCTACCTCATGTATGCTGCTTGTTATGCAAATAACTTGGCTTCTTTCTGCTTATCAGTTCAGTACTGTATGTTCCCCTTTTATAGAAAACGCCACGGCTAATGTGAAAAACTGTCTTATCGGAACGATTAGAACAGAGAGGAATCGTTTAGAGAAAAATGAAATCCTAATGAAACGAGGACATTCAAATGTGCTCGATAAGCAGTCCAATTTAAAATGACAAACAGAAAATGAGCTCAGCAGCAGAAGGAAGGTAGCGTCTCCTCGTGTGTGTGTGTGTGTGTGTGTGTGTGTGTGTGTGTGTGTGTGTAAGGGGGTGTTATGGTGAATGTGTCTCACTTCGCTCACGAAGCTTATTCATTATGTATGCAGTGATCTCTTGATGAAGAGTCAGCCGCTTGCCTCAGAGTCGTCATCACTGTGTGGATGACGCTGATTTTGTTCCTTCGCCCAAATCGACAAAGATAGAAGACCAGCTGTGAGTGTGTGTGTTTCTAATCCATTTTGGAGGAAAACCTGCATCCGAGGCCCTAGAAAGGCACACGCCTTAAAGGGGACATATCATATTCATTTTCAGGTTCATATACTTGTATTTTGGGTTTCTACTACAATATGTTCACATGCTTTAATGCTCAAAAAACACGTAATTTTTCTCATACCATCGGTCTGAATATACACCTGTATTCACCCTCTGTCTGAAACCCCCCTGAACTATGTCATCTGTAAACATCCAACAGCAGAACAAGCTGCATTGTAAAATAAACACTGGCTTATTATCACTGCATA